AAATGGCCATCAAAATTTTACATAGGAATATAGGAAAACTCTTTAAAAATCTTCTTCTCAATAACGACTGGGCCAGGAAAGATGAAACTCATGTGGAATCATCCTCAGGTAGTGTAGATTCAAGTTTGTTTCATTTACCCCCGGGGGTTGGGTGGGGCCAAAATGGCCGATCTAGGTTTTACAAAGGAATATATAGGAAAAATCTTTAAAAATCTTCTTCTCAAGAACCACTGGGCCAGGAAAGATGAAACGCATGTGGAATCATCCTCAGGTAGTGTAGATTCAAGTTTGTTCAAATCATGACCCCCGGGGGTAGGGTGGGGCCAAAACGGCCGATGAAAGTTTTACATAGGATCATAGGGAAACCTTTTAAAATCTTCTTTTCAAGTACTTCAAAGCCAGGCTTCGTTATATTTATTGGGAATCATCCTCAGGTAGTGTAGATTCAAGTTTGTTCAAATCATGACCCCCTAGGGGGGGGTGTAAAATTCAAGCCACCCCCCCCCCCACCCAGTTTACTTTCAGTTCTGATCTGATCTGTGTTTTTTTCCTAGCCAATTGCTCAGGTGAGCGATGTGGCCCCTGGGCCTCTTGTTTAAAATATCGTCTTCAGAGTACTGTGTGTACTATCACACAAAATAATAATACAAATGACTAATGACAAATAATCAAATTTAAGAATTCCAAAACTAGATACATGTACATAGATATTTGTCAATCGCACTGTATATGAAAATTGATGTCAACATTATCGATCTCATTTGATCTTGCCAGGCAAAGGTTTTCTTAAAGATTATATTAAAAAAATATATAAATTATTTCAAATTTAAAAATGTATGTATATTACGTTGCGGTAATGAAATGTAATACTCCGATAATCAGAATTCAGTCCTTTTCTAATGGATACTTTTATTTAAATAACGTTTTAAAATTAAGTCAACTTTCGGTTTCACATTATAAAAAACAAAGACTAAGGAAAATAAATCATTGATGAAGTATTTTCCTCCATTATAGAAACTATCTGTGATTGATTTCCTAAAATTGATTGAATTTTGGGGAAATAAGGCATGTGTTTGAGAAATGAATGTTGATATTCAATATCTTTGATAATATTAGGTGAAGCACTAAGGTAGCGTTAAATATCTTCAGAATCGATAGATAATGGACTCTTAGAACAATCTCGAATAAAGTACACATTCAGATTAAAGCAAAATCATTACAATCGAAATAGTTTTCATTGTACAGACAGGTTTGAGTAAGCATTGCATCTGTTCAGAATTGAACCTAATGCCAAAGCAACGTAACAAAACATAATAGTTATATAAGAAAACAGATTAAGCGGAGTGTGTTTCAGAATTGATTATATACTTGGTTTAACAGTTTGTTGTTGTTTACGTAACTTTTTTGTCCCTCCCCCAATTATTTCAAATTAGTATGACGCTGTTGTGTATCTATATCATTACTTTTTTTCACACATTCTGAAAATTGGAAAAAAAAATCTTTAAGGCAAGATTAATGATTGCTTTCTTTCAGAATAATTCTATACAGTAAAACTCGGTTATAACGATATCACAGGGACTTTCAAAATTTCTATGCTCCATTCGTAATTCGTTATATACGTATAAAGAATTATTTAAATCTATAAGAAGCTGTGAATTCGCAATATCCTGTTCGTACCAAACGAGCTTTACTGTACATCTTTTTGCAAATATATCTCAAATATGCATAGGAGAAGTGATGGAAACCTTCGACATATAATTGAATAAGTTCCATAAAAGAAATGGTGTAGGTTTTCAGTGTTGAATTTTTTTAAAAAGTAGTCCTCTCCGGTTTTAACGCGCGCAAGTTACCGCTTTGCCCATGCGCGAATCAAAGTGGATAAAACAAGGGTGTCTCCTTTTTGCCATTTATGATACTTTAGGCTTAAAGTAAACAACACTGTAAGGATTTAATGATTATATAGTTGTTAGGATATTTAACTCTTTTTCTAACTATAAACAAATTATTGACACATCTCGAGTCGTTATTATTTAACATTTCTTCTCTAATCATAACTTAAAAAACACATGTTTACCTGTATCCAAGATCAGTACGTGTAGAAATATTAAAACATCATGTACCTTAAATCGGACTTATTCTGTATGAAAAGTGTAAAAACTTATAACTTAACTTTTGGGGTTTTCATTTCTTCCTTGCCTTTACATTTCATTTCCTATGAGTGATTTAAGATCTCTTGGAAACAATTTTATCACAATTAATTTGGATTTGAACATAGACTACATGCATATAAAAATAACGAAAGGCAACTGAATGTATAATAACAGAAAACTAAATGATAGATTTTCAGCAATCATTGCAGACCTTTATGTAAACATTCGGTAATGGCTAAATAAACCATTTTTATTCTGTAATATATATACAAAAAATTATTTCAATATATTTCTGGATAACTTATGCTGTAAAAAAATGAATAGAATTAACATTTTTTTATTAATTTTACGAACAATCGGATATAATTATTGCAGTAATGCCGCGAAAAAAATGTTTATAACTTGCTCTTTCATTTTACAGGTAATAAACACTGAGGATAAAGTAACAGAAACTTTGGTAAATAGTGCGAAAACCGTCCCTTTTAACTGTTATTTATATACATGCAGTAGCATTTGTGCATTAAAAAAGAAGCAACGATTTATCTTTATTGTGTTAATTTTGTAGGAAATCGAGCGCAAGGATAAAGCAACAGAAACGGATGTGGTAAATACATGTTAAAGCTTCCAGTATTTTCAACCAATAGATTTTACTGTCACATGCTGTATGTACCAAAACTGTAAACGCATCATACCTGCGTAGATCAGTGGTAGAGAGTCTACTCTGCAGTCTAGGAGTAAGGAGTCATAGTCTTTACATAGCGGGTTGCAAACCTAAGGTGGGACGTTGAAACATGTTCCTGAGATGAGACCATATAAGTTGATGTACTGGCACGAAAAAAAAAATACAGACACATTCAAAGATCAAATTATTTTACATCTTCATAAAATTTCCAAAGGAATTGTTCGTTCATTACCTAACCTTGCAGTACAATAATTACTTCATAAATTGATGTTACTTTCGCCAGTTCATTTAAATATACGAGTATGTCTTAAGTAAAAAAAAAATACAAAATTTCAAACGTAACCAAGCTGATTAACGCCTTTCACTTAATCTTCGACTGGATGTTAATTCAAAATCTATATATGAATATCTCTTTCAAATGTGAATATATAAAAAGAAAGCTTAGGAAAATAAATTTGGTTGGTCAGTGATCAAAATATTTAGAAAAGCTCTTCGGATTTCACAAGAATTGACCACGTGACAGACCTTTTTATTTTCTCCGAGGAGTTTGCTTTTTTGCTTATTTTAACATGTTTTTGTTTGTAGGTTGGTCAAACAAAGAACAAAAAGACAAATACTAATTGGGTAAACCAATTATACGAATCGTAACAAAATAATTATGTTTATTCTATTGATTTATGCTGAAATATTTTTATATTTGCAAATTTATTCAATCTTATCAGTGACAACTTCTTATAGTAAAGACGTAATTTAATAAGCTTTGTTCTTTCATAGAGTGGTTTTGAAAGTTGTTCATAATTTGCTTTGTTGTTTTTAGAAAGTAAATTTAAAAGACAAATCTACATCTTGTCAGGTAAGTATTTTATCAGAGGGTAGTGCTTGTATCATGGGAGTTTTAAACATAAATTATCGTTGTCTATGTATATTGCTAAAATAATGTTATTGATTTAATGATTGCAACATTGCTTATCTATATTGGTAATGCATGTAAATTGTACATTCATCATATTTTTCTACTATGTTTCTTTTTAAAAAGTCCTTGGAAAAAGTGGATCAGTCAACACAGTATGATGATACACATGTAAGTCACTTAAAGTACAGAAATATTAAACTCTTGATATTTTCGTATTAGATTTACCAGATATACTAAGCTACAAAACCAATTAGAAAGTGTGTTTTCCGTAAATTCTAATAATCTGACAAGATTATCTTTCCATATTATTTCGTATATGTATCAAAAATATACATACTATGACCTTCGCAATTCCTAACATTCAAAAACTATGAGATGGTTAATAATAATGTCATCTTTAAAATATGTTATGTTTGAATCAAATCTCATAATAGAAGTGTCAATGGTTAATGCTTTGTCTTACCTTGTAAAGTGCCTCAGGATTGCTAGAACTCAAATCTCTCCATCGTTTGAAGTTCTTAGTCGCTCGAAGTAAGACTGTGATCCCATTTTTCCATTTTAATAACTAGACAAAACTACTTCTGATTTCTGGGACATCCAACTTCCCGAATTTCCCTCCATCTCTATCCAATATCTGGGTCCTGTTATATAATGAGATCTGACTGTCCGTTTAATCGGGATATAATGGGAGGACAACTGAGAATTGTTATGAAAAAAAGTTAAACAATCAAGAAACTAATAATTCTCTTATTTAATTAGGATATTTGTTCAAATAAACTGTTCTAAAAACTTCCAATAAATTTATTTTTTTGATATATGATTTAAGGTTTTAGGACCAGTCACGGAATCTTTCAGTACTTTTAAAGTAACAAAATGTAAAGCAAGAGAGGGAATTCAAGCTTAATCACGACAGAGCATATTCTCGAGATCTTTTTAAAAAACTACTACAATACTTATCTCATCTTTACCTCGTCTAATTGTAAACTGTTATTAAATTGATATAGATGATTTTGTCTCACTTACATTTCTGTTTACACGAATTTAGAAAATATAATTGACATTTGAGATATTTAAAAATATCGACTATATTTCCTTTGTGGAGATTTATTTATGTGATTTTGTATCAATTTAGGTTAATAGGCTGTTGCCCAGCCCACCAGTAGACCCTGCCAGATCGGATGAGAGACCAAGGAAAAGTGTAAGAATTTTTTCACTTTATAGATAGAACAATAATTATGAAATGCCAAGAAGAAATTGTAAATCAAAATTTGACATGCACTTCTTTTTATCTGTTTTAAGGGAGATCAAACATCTGGGACAGAGAGCGAACATTCTGAGGAAGAAGACGACGCCAAAGAAGACGGCGACAATAGGGTTAGAATTACTGTTTTCAAAAGATTCTGAATTATTTGGCATCAATCTAATACCCAGTTATGAAATGTTTCACGCTTTTCCTTAGGCAATTATGTACACATTGACTAGTCGACAATTTTTGTTAATTTCTGATCATGACAAAGAGCACACGGCGGGTGGAAGTAGGGGATACTTACTCCTCCATCGCACCTGATCCCACCTCTGATTGTTTGGAGGTCCGTGTTTTCTCTGCTCCTTTTCTGTATTTTCTTTAATGGAGCATGTTAACTTTGCACCCGTATACTGTTCCATATTTACGTATAAGTCATAAATTAAATGTAGGTTGATAAAGGACAGTATGTAAGCTAAGAAGTCCATTAAACAATATAAACTTATGAGAAGAGCAAATACTGAACTTCAATACACCAGAAGTTTTATCAGGTGTCATGGAGGAGTGTGTATCCCCTGCTGAACGGTCACACCTGCCGTGTGCTCCTTGTCATGATGGAGAAATAACCTTAAAGCTGAACCTTCTCATAAATAGGCACTGTCAGACTGGTATATAAACCGTTCGCTTTCGTTACACCCGATTGTTCACTCGAAACTCGTGGCCGGCATGTAGTACTCCTATCGTGGTCTTAGATTTTTTGCGTTTATTTCTTGTTTTTATGTGCACTTTCTGTTCGTAAATAATGTATTGACCTGTATTTTCCATGATACTTTTTTTCCTGTTTTGGACAAATACGTAAAATTTGATAATTTCATCGATATTGAGTAGCACGCTTTGTAAGATGTACGTCTACACTCCTCAGATATCTATAGTGAAATACATTGAACTGACTAGCGATCTGCTCCTTATATACGAGTTGTAGAGAGAGCGTTGAAGAACGAGAAACATGGCGGACTATGCCTATTTACGCGTAGTGTTCAGCTTTAATGTATATGTCGACGATCTATTATGTAAATAATGATTTAACAATTGGTATGAAAAACGTCGGTCAGTATTTAACTTAAAGCTGAAACATTTCATAAATAGGCACTGTCAGACTGGTATATAAACCGTTCGCTTTCTTTACACCCGATTGTACACTCGAAACTCGTGGATGACATGTAGTACTCCTTTCGTGGTTTTAGGTTTTCACGTTTATTCCTTGTTTTATGTGCATTTTCTGTATGTAATTAATGTACTGACCTGTACTTTTCCTGATACTTTTGTCTTGTTTTGGAAAAAAATACGTAAATTTGATAGTTTCATTGCCACTGAGTAGCACGGCAGTGTAACATATACGTCTACACTAGTCGGATCTCTACATCGAAATTCATGGAACTGATAAGCAATCTGCTCCTTACAAAGGGGTTGTAGGGAGAACGGAAAATATGGTGGACTATGCCTTTTTTTACGAGAAGTGTTCAGCTTTAATGATAGAATGTATTTGCTAAAGGGGACATTGTATCGACTATAGAACTTACGAAATGACCTTTCTTGTCAATTACTTACATTGTTTTAGAAATTGTTCATATGTAGAGCATGCTCTAGAGAATGGAATTAACTGAGAGATATACTTCATATCATGAAATAATTTTAGGAGAAATCCTTCTTTGTTTATGTTTTTAATACAATTTGCCTTCTTTTGATATTGCATTTATTTTTGCTGTTATCATAAATTTTTATTTACGTAGGAAAGTCTAACTGGAGAAAGATTACCAAAGCCTTTTCATAGAATAAACATTTTCGGGAAAACGTTGAAGGAAAATGTAGAAAAAGGTAAACAATCCATTTCATCAATTTGAATGTTTTATATTTCAATATTTTAACATTTATCGAAATAATATCTAGAACATTTTGCATTATGATCATTATTGAAAATACCTCAGCAATTTTGTGCGAACTTTATTGTAGACACCCCTCGAGATATACTTTCAAAAATTTAACATATTCGGTTAAATATACGATCTTAGATAATAGGATCACCTCATACAAATATTTGAAAAAGATATAGATCTCATCGTCTGAAATTCAGTGATGAATTTCATATTTTGGTGATTTCATTAATTAATATTGAGAAAATTATGCTCACATCAAATGTCTGGCTTTTATTTACAACATATTTTAAAACCGCTTAGTTCCAGAATTGCTTAAGCGCGGTTTGCGTGTCATAAAAGGACCAAATTATGATCATGAGAAATTGACAGCTGTTCCCGGGGACTACATTGGAACGGTCATCTGTGTAGATTTTGAGGAAGATTTACCGGAAGTTTGGGAGTACACGAAAGAACAAATAACAAAAATTGCTGTGTTTAGGAGAGGGAAATCCGGGAATGGTAAAACATATTTCATAGAAAGAATTTCAGCACATCAGATTTCAAATGATTCGCAAGCGAGTTAAAGTTCAACTAGATGCTGTCATGAGACAGTAATACCCGCACTAAGGTGTTTGCCTCTAAATACACACTCCTTCATATTGGACTTTCCAAGGAAAAGTCAAAATAATTCTATAATTATCTCCGTACATGTATTCGTCAAATTGAGCATAAAATTTTCAGGTGACCATATGATCTATGAGCCTCATAGATGTATTTTGTATACTTAATTCATTACCAGTCTGAAATAGCAGAATTTAATTAATAAAGTAAATTAATTAATTAGATTCTGATAAATATTTTGCCCATAATTTGGAACTTTTTGAATTTACTTTCTCAATAACATAAAATATTATTTTAGGGAAAAAAAAAAAAACATTGAAAATACAGCCCAATGATTTGTAAATGCCTATCCCCCCCACCATCACACACCGACTCTCTCTCTCACACACATTTTTTAAAATAGACCTAGATGGCAAAGTTATGTTAAAACATCGTTTATTATGATAGTTTGAAATTTGTTCTTGTACTAAACAGTTTTACGTGTGAACATCTTATTGAAAATTTCTACATTCACATTGGGTTTGCGTCACCCATTATCATATTTTTAGATAATGCCACTCGGCACACCTCGGCCGATTCATACTTCATCTAATGAATGAGATTATTTAGCACATGTATGCTGACGATGCAGTGTGGTCAGTTAAAATCATTTGTGTTTTAATTGGATTATATGGATTATATTTCATGAATTCGTTGTCACGACCTATGACATTCGGTAAGTACAAGATTTAGTATAGATTGCATAAGAATAAATAAATACAAATGGTTAGGTTGAAGTTCAAAAAGGGTCAAAGACCATCGCATGCCACAGTCGACAAATTTCACATTGTCAAGTTATCTCCCGTTGCCGACATTCAGTATATACACTATTACAGAAGTAGATCCAGAATTTTTTTTGCGGAATGGGGGGAGGGGGGGGGGGTCACACCTCATTCAAAAAAAAAAATCCAGCCCAAAATTTCCCGAGAAGCAAATAAAAAAATAATAATAAAAACAATGATGATGGGGTCCCTGTTTTCTAAGGGGGAGGATGTCCAAAGTCATTTGTATTCTCTTCAGTAAATTATAGTCTTATCTAAATAACTGCAAATTCAAGGGGGAGGGGGGTGTCTGATCTCCCTAGCCACTGACACCCTGTAACCTGAAATGACAAATGATCTTATGACTCCATAATAGTAGAAATTTTTTCCATTTGACTATATATACATATTTTGTTTCCTGTGTTTATACATGTATGCCTGTTCACAGAAACTTTAACCTTGTCCATATTTAAGTTTTAAGTGGATTGGGCTATACACATGGCTTCCACATTTCATAGGTAAATTTCTTTTGGCAAAATCTTTTAATGGGTACCACCAATTTTGACCTCTTGATCTCTTGACCTTGGAGTTTGACCCACTTTTACAAGAAAAATACCTTAAACTTGGCCTAATTTAAGTTTTGAACAGTTGGTGCTAGGACTTTCATGCTTAACATGTGTAATCATTGTGAACTTTCAACAGGTATAAATATTTTTGACCTTGACCCTAGAGTTGAATCCAATTTAACTTTAACCTTGGCAATGACTTTTGAACAGGTGAGGAAGTACTAGGAATTTCTCTCTTATTTCACATGTGTATTCCTTGTGACAAGACTTTCCCTTTGATACCAACAATTTTGACCCTTTGACCTTGACCTTGGAGTTTGACTTACATTTGAGAAACTTCAACCTTTGCCAAAAGCTGCCAAAACAGTTGCTGTCACAACAAACAAACAAATTACCGGTACTAAAAAAAAACCACAGTATACATGTACATATTTTATATTCAACAGATATACTTCTGGTCATATCTCAAGTTCTCCCTTGAATCAGACATGGTGATATAAATATTTTGAAAATAATTATTGTAAGAGTTGAAAAGGTTGTGCATATTAAAATATACTAAGTGCTGCGGATGAATTAGATATACCAGTTTAGCTTCATTTTGCTACCCAAAGCACCTTGATTAACTATTTACAAGCATACTGTTTTCTGAAATGTACTGTTTTGTGTCGTCCATCTGTTTTTCTGCAAACTTTTCACATTCTTAACTTCTGAATTAAGAACCACTGAGCCAATTTCAACCAATTACATGTAAATATGCAGGGGACTTTTTCCAACATAAATCTTCTTCTCAAGAACAGCAAGGACATTTATTGTCCCCCATTTTTGCTAAAGGTAGGACACATTAAATCTTATTTGTTTGTCAGTCTATCCATCTGTCACAATAAGTTTAACTTTGGTCATCATAGTCATATATTTTGAATGAGAAGAGACAGGACTTTTATATTAAACATTTGTATTAGTATTTAATGGGACAATACCATTCTAAATACACTATGATTTTTATTACCCATGACCTTGAAGTTTGACCTACTGTCATGAACAAATTAATTGTTTTAAATTGATCATTTTGAAAGATAAATGAAAGAGAATTCATATTACCTGTGATAAGACCTTTCCAAATCTATCATGACTTTTGACTCTGTGACCTTGACCTTGAAGTTCAACTTACTTTTCAATAATTTTGATTTTTCTTTTTGATTGAGAAGAGATACGACTTTCACATTTCAAGTGTACATTACCCATAACAAGATGTTTCCCAACATGCTATGATTTTTTACGCCTTGACCTTGATGTTTTACCAAAATTTTAAAAGAGTGAACTCTCCCAAAAGAGGATTAGGCCACTGTGTAAAATGAAATAGGAGTTTAGGGAAGACGGGCTTTTTGCATAAAAAACATCATTTTTCCACCCTTATTTGACACCCCGGGGCAAAATCAAAATTCCAAAACCTTACTACACATTTACATGACCCCATCATCCATCTCCCAAAAGATGATTAGGCTGCTGAATAAAATGTAAGATGAGTTCAGGGAAGATGGGGCTTTTTGCATAAAAAACGTCATTTTTCGACCCCCATTTGACGCCCCGGGGCAAAATCAAAATTCAGAAACCTTACTACACATACACTTGACCCAACCAACCAACTCCCAAAAGATGGTTAGGCTGCTGAATAAAATGTAAGAGGAGTTCAGGGAAGAAGGGGCTTTTTGCATAAAAAACATCATTTTTCTACACCCATTTGACCCCCTGAGGCAAAATCTAAATCCTGAAACCTTACTACACATCTACATGACCCCACCAACCATCTCTCAAAAAATGATTAGGCTGCTGAATAAAATGTAAGAGGAGTTCAGGGAAGACGGGGCTTTTTGCATAAAAAACGTCATTTTTCGACCCCCATTTGACCCCCCGGGGCAAAATCTAAATTCTGAAACCTTACTGCACATCTTCTTGACACCACCAACCATCTCCCAAAAGATGATTAGGCTGAAGACGGGGCTTTTAGCATAAAAAACGTCATTTTTCGACCCCCATTTGACCCCCCAGGGCAAAATCAAAATTTTGAACCCTTACTGCACATCTACATGACCCAACCAACCATCTCCCAAAAGATGATTAGGCTGCTGAGTTGAATGTAAGAGGAGTTTGGGGAAGAAGGAGCTTTTAGCATAAAAAACGTCATTTTTCAACACCCATTTGACCCCCCAGGACAAAATCAAAATTCCAAAACCTTACTGCACATCTACATGACACCACCAACCATCTCTCAAAAGATGATTAGGCTGCTGAATAAAATGTAAGAGGAGTTCAGGGAAGAAGGGGCTTTTTGCATAAAAAACGTCATTTTTCAACCCCCATTTGATCCCCTGGGGCAAAATCAAAATTCGGAAACCTTACTGCACATCTACATGGCACCACCAACCATCTCCTAAAAGATGATTAGGCTGCTGAGTAAAATGTAGAAGGAGTTCAGGGAAGACGGAGCTTTTAGCATAAAAAACGTCATTTTTCGACCCCCATTTGATCCCCTGGGGCAAAATCAAAATTCCGAAACCTTACTGCACATCTACATGACACCCCCAACCATCTCCCAAAAGATGATTAAGCTACTGTGAAAAATGTAGGAGGAGTTCAGGGAAGAAAAGTGTGACAGACGGACGGACGGACAGACGGACGGACGGACGGACGGACATGAGTAACAACAATATACCCGAACTTTCTTTAGAAAGTGCGGGTATAAAAATGGTTAGATATGAGTGTTTCATGCAAATGAGCTAACAAAAGTTCATAAGTTATATACTTTATATAGAGAGACATTTCAAAGAACAAGATTCGGTTTCTATACAAATTTGGCCCTGTAATTTTCTTAAATATTGAACTGATGTTAGAAGTTAAAAATAATTCTTTCCGATTTATTGATATTCCATGCAACAAATTCATACAAATCATTTTTCAAATTTGACGTCACAAATGCTAATTCTGATGTAATGAATTTGTGCATTTTCCTGTTTTTTCTTACAAGATGCATAGACATCAATTTTCAGTCGATTTCAGGAAACAACAAATAAATCGCCGATAAAGGTTTTGAAATATGATATTCATATTATAAAGGATATTAATCAATTTATCGAAATATTGATGTGGGCGACGGATATGGGCAATATGTTTAAAGAAATATGGAATAATACATATCAAAGGGTGAAATTTAAGGCTTCGAGCATGAATCTTATAGATGTATATGACACAATTGTTCTTTCCCTTCCAAGGTAATAAAACATATCAACAAAACAGAGTTTTGATTCCTTGTTGTTGGAACCACATGTGCGGTCCTTATGGGTTTTAATTAGGTTTTTCGTATAGAAACCTCCATATGTAACGTTATTTCACATAAGTACAATTTTTTCCAATATTGGCATTTGATCGTTTGCCAAAATTTACTGATCGCTACCTTGAACCTTGAATAAATTCTGCTGATTATGATTCATTTTTTGCTGAACTCTTCTGGTATTATCCATCAAAATAATAATAAAATTTGTAACCAATAACCCCCTTTCGTCTATTAACATCGTTTGCTTTGTTTGTTTGATTGTCTTTTCATAATGTCTATGAAATGTTACATTCCAGATTATTAGTTTTTGAAAGAAAGAATTTCAACCATTTCTGGCGATAAAAATCCCAAGGAATCAAGATTTAAGATATATTTCAATGTCTTATCTTTATAAAACATGTTCACAGTCTCATTTCCTCTGTGTCTTATTTTGTTTCATAGAAATAGAATACACCAAATTAAATTACCGAAATGGAAAAGATCATTGTACGTTTTCTCGGTAAAACATATCCTTATAGGAGTAGATCATTAGCCTGCTATGATGCCTAAAAGCATAAAAAGAACTTTTAAAAAATCTTACATTTTATGAAGTACAGTGTACTAAGTTGTACTGCAGCGGATAAATATGCATAAGAAATAAATCATTGATAATATGCACTCAACATGTGCAGCAATGTACAAATCACCTTTAATTTGTAATCAAATAAAAGACAAAATAGAGTAATCCTTAAACAACTGTTGATTTCCTTCAATGCAAGAAGATCAGTATTGTAGATTATTAAATCATTGTGTCCTAGAATTTTGATGGTAGAAATATAATTGATATAAAGGAACACAATATCATTTTGTCATATTTTTTTAAGTATTCATATACCTCTTTATGTAGCTTTTGGGAAAGAGTATGTAGATAGATTCAACAAACCTCATTTGGTCACCAATCAACTTAACACTTATGTGGAAGTACAGTGGGACAATGGACAAAGAGAGTTATGTGCTATTGGACCATTGAAATTTGAGCTGCTCGTATACAATACAAGTACTATATCCTTTTCCATTCAATCAAATTTAAGAAAGGCACAGTAATGTACATAAACAATGAAACTTGGCTAATCCGAATGCTGAGTATTTCAAATTTTTCGATGTTATATTAAAGTCTCTATTAGTAAATTATTTGTTAAAATGTGGTCTTATACGCCATTTATCTTTTTGTTTTGGAATCTGCGACAGACAGTTTTTTTTTTTTTTGCATTGCAAAAATAATTATGCAATCTTCATAGTCATTGAAGCATATACATGTAGTTTAATTAAAATAGATTTTCCCACGTTTGAGCATGTGAGAAATCCACATTTAAATATAAAAACAAAGCCTTATTTTTCATTAAATTCATCACTATTTTAGAAAATAATTTTTCTTTTCAAAGATGAAATTCATGACAACTTCATGTGCAATGGATGCAATGAAGAGCCTATAATTGGTACACGATGGACATGCGTCACTTGTAAATTTAGAAACCTTTGTACGTCATGCTATATGGCCAATAAATATAACAGAAACCATGTCTTCCAGCGAATAATGATGAAAGGTGGAAAAGGGTAAGTCTTCTCTCAATGCATTTCAAATCATAAGGAGCACACGGCGGGTGTGACCCATGGCAGGGGATACTTACTCCTCTATGGTGCCCTGTCTCATATTTGATATGCATTTAATAGGTCCATTTTATATTCTGATTTGGCTTAATGTTGTTCAACGTAGTATTCTTCTCATATTTCTTACATATAAAAATTGATAAAATTTTACAGAATCAAGAAGACAATATCACTAAGTGCTGGTACCAGTGAGATTAAAACTGACCGTTTTATATTAAAGGCATGGTCAGGTCAGGGTTATTATCTTTTCTATGGATATTAAGACTAAAAAGAAATTACTGTTGCTAATCATGCGATCCCTACTTGTATTTCAAAATATATGATTTTGCGTAAAAAGATACTACCAAATAGGGTCCAAAAGATTACTAAATTGAGAGAAATAATTTAATTAAAATGGATATTGGCTAATCCGAATTTTCTTACTTACTTAATGTTTTTGCATATATTTATTATTTTAAAATACTTTTTATATTTAATTTTTTCTTATTTTTATACTTGGAGAAATTGTCACAGTAAAATTCAAGATGATTAAAAAAACAAAAAGTTTTGATCGTTAACCGAGAGAGAAGAAAAACACTTTATACAGATTTTTGGCTCAAATCTGTCTAGATTTGGAAACTTTTAAAAGATAACATAGTTCTAGTTTGTTTGAGAAATCATATTCATTTGTTATATTTTTAATCTTTGGTCTTTCTTGTTTTTTAAAAATTTAAGGTACATAATAAGCTGATCAAGAGAGATAACTTCTAATGAAACAAATGTCTATTAATTCTTTATAAATTTGTAAAATTTAAGTGCCTTTTTTGTCAAATTTTGCCCGCAAGTCATGCTATAATTGTTTGTATTTTATTCATCATAACAAATGAGCTAATTGCAACCAAACTTTGCAGAGGGCATCCTAAGACCTTTGCTGAAGGGATTCTTAAATTTGTTCAAATTAAGCCACCCTTTCTTTTGAAAGGGAAGATGATCAAGAACATAAAGAAAAGGCAAATCTAGGGTTGGATTTTACACCCAAAAAAAATGATCATAAAGAAAAGGCAAATCTAGGGTTGGATTTTACACCCAAAAAAAAATTCTGTAATCTATGGGCTAGAAAAGATGAAGCCTATGTTTAAGCTTCCTATATTATGTAGAATAAAATTGTTCAATTCATGGCCCCTGGGATATGGTGGAACAACAACAGGGGATTTATTAAGGATGATATGGGGTATAATCTTTAAAAACAGTTCTAAAGAACAACACGCAAGTGAGTTAAGGCTACGTATGGAGGTTTCTATACAAAATATTTAATTAAAACCCATAATTGCTATACATACCACATTGAAAATGTGAAGACTTGTTTTCTAATACATTCTTGGTACCCAAGACATGCGATAGCCAGAACACATTATGACTTCATCGACCTGTACTACTCAGGTTTGTAAGAAAGATCAACAAAATCGCTTCGGTGCAAGGGCATACCTTACTTTGATTAGTAGAAACAAGGTATAAAGAGACGCAGAATTTCCAAGGATTTAAGATATTGCTGCACAAATGTCCACACTGTAAGTGTTTAGGTACTATTCGCACAGTTTTAAGTTGAAAGAGGGTAAAAATTCACAGTCCAGTGTATGTTTCCTAAAATTTTTATCGATTGGAGAAGTGCATAGGATTTGTGCAGCAATTTTATTAATTTTAAGTATATTCACCTGGAATATTCTATACATTGTTTATTTTAAATTAGATAGGATAGGCCCTTGCGCCGACGTGATTTTGTTTATATGATTTAATACCTTGAATGGGAGAGAACAATGACGTCATGATATGACGTCATAATGTGCACTTGCATTGATAAACTGTGGGTATTAGGTATGTATCAGAAAATCAATTTGAACCTTCTCTGCACATAAAATATACAAATTATGAATTTTCATTAGCTTATTTGCATAAAAATATCCATATTTAGCCTTAATTCACTTGCGTATATTTCATCGATATTATATAGCAAACCAACGTGCACGCGTACGTGTACGTGTAGCACCAGAAATCTGTCCATTACGTCATCACTCTTGCTAATGACGAATTTCTACACCCATCCTCTTACGCAGGTTACGTGTAGATTGCCAAGTACACGTAAGTTAAAACTTGTAGATTATAATTCTTTAACTGCTGTTTATTTTTCAAAAAGTGTGCGTTTTTCTAAAACCTAAATATTTAATGCAAATACCGTTGAAAGAACTGAACTCAGTAATTAAAAAATAATTATACATTAAAATCCAACATCTAGATTTTCGAAACAGGCTTTGACCTAAAAGAAATATGTACATTTTCTTCTCATAATACATGCATATGTTTATTTAAAACGGTGATATACGTATTAAAATCATTTTTTTTTCAGATGATCTTTATTTAAACCCACTTTTACATTTAATAACTTACAACTACAAGTACTTTGCTAAACAAGACAAAAATGTTAACGTGTACGTGTAATTTTACTTGTAATTTACACGTACATGTACACGTAAAAGTGAGCTTGCAAAACCTCTTTAATAATTTACGATTATTTTTTGCTTAGGGGGGGGGAATGTTAGTAATTAAATCCAAAAACCTTTCTCCTCTTTAATTTTAAAAAATATACCAATGCATGTTCGTGTTAAAATGCAATGCGCTTAAGAATTTTGCAGATGAATTGTGAAAATAAAGACCAGCATAATGGGAAAATATCTTATTTTAATGCTTTTTTTTGAAAACACTTTTTATTGGGGTGTGCACTGATATTGAAGCTTAAAAGAAGCATTAATGAGTGGCTTCTTTTCATGTGACGTCATGAAGAAGAACGAAAAACCAATCTTTTGACTTATTTCATATAACGAATCTCAACAAAACAAGAGTTATTCCCTAATTTACAAACTTTCAGAAAAGGGGAAACCCTTTATATGATTTTCCAATGGTTGATATAAAAATAATTAGATATTTGGTTTTGTAATTAATATATTTTAATTTATAATAAAATTTGTTGTGTTTGTAACCATGTTTTTGAAAAAAAAAAATCTTTTTTATATATTTAAGCATGAAAGCAAAATGAGCCATATAGTTAAAAACAAGAAGCGCATTAAGTACATCATAACTACTCATAGAACAAAAATAAAATCTTATTCTATTGCAGTATCAGTTATTCCAGTGAGTTTTATTCAATAAAACCTAGTTCTGTGACTTTTTAAAGAAGAAAATTCTATTTTTTTGACCGGAAATGCCGTATCCAGCAGCACAGATATTGGTAAAAGACATGAAGCATACGGCGTAACCCAGGAAGTAGAGTATCTTTGTTTTAAAACATGCAAGGCTTAATGTGATATAATAATCACATTCCCGCATTTTAAAAATTTTTGACATTCTACCTTCAACGAGATAAACAGTGTTGAAAATCCTAAATTTTGCTGATAATGTTTTGTAATTATTGATTATGTGTTGTTCTTGCTGACAAAAACTAAAATTCATCGTTGCTGATAATTTTACGTTAACGCTGTTCTTGTTCAACAAACAGAGGTCATCCAGTGAAGAAGCAGGTTGATTCTGGTAGATGGATAATAGATTTCGCTTTTCACATTAGTACGCAGCACAACTAAGGTTAAAGTAAGGAGGCGGGGCCTAATTTGTACGGGAAATGTTTACTATGACGTTACACATAATATAAGGTCTTCAAAATACCATAAAATGAAATCATTTGCTATTTCAAACAGCTGGATAGCTGTACAATGTGTACTACATACAAACTTACTGCTACATGAAGTTTTGTCGTTTGTTAAATACCACACAACAGTATATAAACGATACATTGATCGCAATGCACTTGTCAATGTGACGTCATCTCGCAAAAATGACGCAGTTTGTCCACAGTGAGAGGCTGATCAAGTCACATTTTGTACACAGAAAATGTCTTTGTTCTCAAATAAAATATTATTTGCAATGAAATAAAAGGCCGTAAACTTGGATGCAATGTCTATTTTTGTATTTCATATATAAGCTGTCCGTACATTCTCCAGACTAGTGACACTGTCGTGTTTTTGTATGCAGATTCACTGAAAAATTAATGAAATGGCCATAATAAATCGATTCATTGCAAGGGCATACCCTCAATGTATCTTGTCAATATTTTACATAAACTCAAGAAAAATTAAGATATTTGTAAAGTGCTGCGAACCTCATGAAATCTTGCAAATAAATCAATTATAGCTCTATTTAATGAAGTTGACCAGCAAAATATTCAGCCTGCCGTCCAACAATTAAAATTTTAGCAATTAAAAAAGGGAATCTTTATAGCTCCGTAGCACTTTTCTTAAACTACATATAGTGTTGAAAAGGATTATAAATCAAACAAAGATTCTTAACTTGGTTATACCCTTGCAATATTGGAATTTATGGACGACCTCTAAACTGCAAGTATAATTGCTAAAATCATCTGACGTCGACATCACGTGACAAGTCTAAAAAAATATCTAAATGTCCCCAACATGTAGATTTAAACCACATTACATTTTTCTTATATCAGTGAAGTTCTAAAAAGAATCGCCCTTCCTAATAAAGTATGTATTTTTTATCTTAAAATATCGCCGATATTTCAATTTGTAACCTTAACTGTGCTGCGTATTCATAAATGTTACCTTATCATGACTTAAAAATTTTTGTTAGGTAACATTTTTTATACTAAAAAATGTGTTACTTGTACATGTTGTATTCCATATTGTTAATCTTTGCACTGTGCTTTTGGAAATAAAGTTGGGCAATGGGGTCACATTTGGCTAATCGTACCATAAAATGTACTTTACCTTCTTCATTTTAAAGGAAAGGTTTTGGGGCCATTGAAAGAGGCTGTCCACAGATATACAATAAACGGAGTGATTTATCCATTGCGAAACTTGGCTCCAAATACAAGAGTATCAGTAATACAAGGAATCAAAGTGAAGGAGCCTTGTCTTCCCCATCTTAATTCAGGTAAGAGAGACAATATATATCAATAAGACCGGCCGCGGTAGCCTAGTGGTGGGACCTTATCTTCGTAATACACAGGCCAGGCTTGGATTCTCGTTCGCCGCCCAGCGTCAATTATAAGACACATTCATATGAAGGAGAACTTGTTCAAAATCTTATGCGTGAAATGAAGAAATGAAGAAAACACTTTCTGTGTACTTAAACTCGACATTCAGTTATATCGACGACGTATTGTCAATTAAAAATGGTAAATTCCATTCCTATGTCGATACGATATATCCAGGAGAGCTCGAGATAAAAGATACCACAGAGTCTGACATATCTTTTTCATACCTGGATATTTTACTTAAAAAAGACGTTAATGGTAATCTAACAACCAAGTTATGTGATAAACGTGATGAATAACTTTTCTATCGTCAACTTCCCTTCCTCCTGCAGCAATATACCTTCGTCACCTGCATACGCATTGTATATATCTCAGTTGATTCGATACGCAAGAGCATGCTCTACGTATGAACAATTTCTAAAACGAGGTAAATTATTAACAAGCAAGTTGATGAAACAACAATATCAGCTATCTCGTTTAAAGTCATCATTTCGTAAGTTCTATGGTTGATGCAATGACCTTGTCAGCAAATACAATTTATCATTGAGTCAAATGCTGACTGACGTTTTTCAGACTTATTGTTAACCAATTGTTTAGCACTGAATTGACAACGGATTTTTCCGATCATGAACAGGGAGCGAACGGTGGGTGTGACCGGTCGGCAGAGAATGCTCACTCCTCCGTGGCACCTGGCCCCACCTCTGATGTGTAAGAGGTCTGTGTTTGCTTTGCTCCTATTTTGTATTGTTTATGGACTTTGATATTGAATACTGTTTGATATCTCCATCTCCTACGCTTATAAGGTATTACTCGAACTTGAGCATAATGGTGCTTTTAATCAATCAAATACTGAAAATACTAGTCTGCAGAAAAACATAAATCCATAAACCTGAAAAAAGTCTAAGTCGTATTCGTTTAGTTCTTTCAGTTTTTTTCTAGTATATATAATAATATAACATAAGAGTCAGTCCGCGAGAAAACCATGCAGAACTGTCCAAATCGAAGGTTGTCATATCTTAATGAAATTTGGTGGGTAGTTAGACTTTATAATATGTTATTAAAAAATGACCAAAAAAAATCCCATTATTGAACATGGCTGCCATAGGCAGCACCACCTCCTTTTTGCACATTTAAGTGCAAATGCACTTAAAAAATTCAAGAAAAATGGTAAAATTCACATTTGATTTATTTTTATTCAAAATTAAACTCGCATTTCCATTAAGGTATTTTGAAAAACATAAGACTATGTTCTTTCAAAATTGACATTTTTCATAATCAAATATGCAATATATCAAAGGGGAGACAACCCTTGAAAATTGGCATGATGCCAATTTTCAAGAATTGCCAAAAGTATTACAAATTTAATGCCCAAAATCTTCCAAGACCAATCTTTGAAATTCATTTTTTTGATTTTATTGTACAAAAATAACTCTAAACATTATCTTTGCCAAATATTGAGCTTGGGAAATAATAAATAATTGAGATATTGGGATTTACAAATTGCCAATTTTCGAGAAAAAAATTGCTCAAACTCAAATGGATTACAAAGTCAAATATAGTACTTTAAATTATATACAATTGTTGTTAGATATTGAAACATGCAAAAATTTTCTTTGAAATAATAATTATGAGTGAAAAATATTTAAATTAAAAATTAAAAAAAAAAACTAAATTGTCAGAAATTACCCCTAATATGAGGATAAGCATTTTGCGAATCGTTTAGAAATGAGAAGAAAAAAAACATAATAAATTGTATTGGCTTACTTGCAATTTTTCAACAATCATATGAATGTATATGTCCCTTACATTTTGTAAGTTAGTTTCTTTATAATTAATAAAAAGGAAATTACAAGTATTTAAATTAAACGGATCATATCCATTCATATAAATTTTGAGACTTGACATTGTTTGCTAGCTCAGAACTGTAGCTCTCTGAAAAAATATATATTGATAGACCGGAGGGCTACAGTGCCACCTGTATATTTATTGCCATAAAAAATGCGCTTGGTTTATTAATTTTTCCAAATTCTTACCTCAATTGCAAAAACGGCTAGATTTCAATAAAGTCCTTTCCCCTTTTATCAATTAACGGCATGGTTTACATCACAGGTGCTTAAACCCCCCCCCCCCCCCCAATATAACCCCCGGGCCTGTTAATTTTTTTTCACATAAATTATATATGGATACACATTTGTGATATAATCTATTCTATCAGTTCAGAAAATTTGCTTAAACTTACATTTTATAAAAATATCTACCCTCTTATAATTTTTATATAGAGAATGTAGGGTAATTAATTAGCCCTTTTTTTGGGCAATTTTTTGATTGCTGATATAGATCTTATCACAAATATGGCAATTAAAGATATTTTATTTCATTATTACATGTTTCATATGCGTTTTTTTTTTCCCTTTTTCATATTCTGATTATGTATATCATATACTTGTCCTCTGACCTGAATTTATATTTTGTAAATATTTTTCATTGTCCTCATGTACCTGAAATGGTTTGAGTGAATAAAAATGATCTTGAACTTGAACGGGGCCAGGTGCCTTAAACAAAATATCAAATTTATTTTGATTAAAAATATGTTATTATTTGATTTAATTTCCTATTCAATTGTACTTACTAGGAAAAATTTTGTATTTTAAATTACCATGAAATACATGTAGATTCCCCAGGACAGAACCCTATAGAAAACATACCTACTACATGTATATGCCCCAAATAAAAAAAACAAACATTTGATGACCTATTATTTTATTTTTTTACTTTCTATGGAATTCTTGGTTTTTTTTTTTTTGTAGTGGATAATGTAGGTTTTTCCCCCCCTCCCCCACACTGAAATTGCTTCCTATGGGCCTGTTACATGTATTTGTTTATTCAAGCTAAATTGTTATTTTTTACATTCAAATATCTTAAAATAAGTTTTCCCTCTTTCATAGTGCAATAATGCTCCACAACAACTCCCTAGAGGAAGAAAAAATGATCATGCATGATTTTCTTCTTTCCATATTCATACTTGTCACTTTTTACCCAATAATACAAAAGAGTTCCAACAAGGGAAGATAACAATTTAACTCCAGCAAATTGGTAACAAGGGGGTAAAATAAGCAAAGGAAAGTTATATGAAGTGTCCAAATCAGTTAGTCCTCTTTAAAAAATATATTAGATTAAGAATCTTCTCTTTTTCTTTAAATATCATAGAAATAATCCAAAAATATGGTAAAAGACTGTTATTTAAAAAATGTGAAATTGTAGCAAAATATGGTATTTCAAATTTAATTTACAACATGTAGATATTATTTCCCAAGCTCAATATTTTGATACAAAGTAGACCTTAGATCATTCTTAAAGTAACAATTAATTTAATCTAATTTCAACCTTGGTCTTGAGAAAAACGAGCATCTAAAAATGGCTAAAAATCATTCTCCTTTATTTAGGATCTTAAATAGATGTGTAAAAAATAAAATATTCATTTTAATTAAGTTTTTACTCATTAATTGTGTTAATTGGACCATGACTTTGAAAATAAAACAAAATTTGAAATTAAACTGATGAAAAAAGGTAACTTTTCGACTTGATCAATTTGTAACATTTTCCATTGAATTTTGTGTGTTTTCCACAAATATGCAAATGAGCTGTTACTAAAAAAAAAAAAAGCAGGGTTCACATTTTTTTTTGGATATTCTGACTTCTATCTTTATGTAGAAAATTTTAAGGCACTAAAAATTCCCAAGTTGCAACCTTCCATTTGGACGATTTTTTGAATTTTGCATGGTTTTCTGCACTGGCTCTTAACAGGAATGGTTTTATTCTGAAGTAAAGCAAACAAATATTCCGAAGCGAGGAATCTGTGACAGAAAAAAAAACTGTGATCGACGCAACTCTTTTGTGTGATATAATCCATACTCAGAATGATAAATATTAATGTTGTTTAATGTAGAAGCACCTTAATATGTAGAAACATACATGGTATTGTGTAATATACGTTGTTTGTTTTAGAAATGGTCAAAAGCCTTCCTGGAATTAGAGTAATGATGAAAGTGACATCAGAAAATAAAAACAAAAGTGAAAGTGAAAGTAAATACATTGTGGGGGCAATCCTTGCATACAAGAAAACAGGAAATAGCGAAAACGTCCGTATTATACATTGACATTTTAAAAAAAAACTTTTAATCATTAATGTGTATCGATTATAAGATGTTCATTAGATTAAATTTTCAAATAAAATAGTTAATAAATAGTTCTTACTTATTTCTAATTAGGAATCGCTTTAAACATCACAAACGAAATATAATGTGTTTGGAAACAAATTACTAGCATTTGAATTCACTAGAAACTATTTTGAATTATTTTAGGTCCGAGTAAAGATCCAATGGGACGCTGAATTAAACACAGGATCCTTCAATGTAAGAAGTCAAGGGTCTTTAAATAACCAACAATTGCTTCTTTTCGACACAGGTAACATTCTTAGTCTTATTTTCATTTAAGTTTTTTTTTAAATAACAAAAATGAATGTTTAAACTGCAATATTTTATGATTGAATACAGATAGTTTATATATTGAAGAACTGATAACTTTAAAACACACTAAGTAAATTGTTAACCTATTTTTTCACTGATTTTTTTTTTATTCACCTGTTTCGTTCTTGAATTTATGCTTTAAATTTGATAAATGAACGTAATAGCTACCAAGTTATATGGTACAACCTAGGCTGGAACAGTTTATGCTTTGTATGTACCTCTTCGTATAACATGAGTATCTAATTGTAATAAGAATAAAGTAACCTTTTTTTAAATATATGTTTACCAATATCAGGTCATGAGCTCACTACATGATACACTTCGTCTCCCATATGATAATAATGGCAAAGTCAATATTATGCTATGAGTAACCCGAAATAAATGTCAGATGAAAAAAAGAAAAATAGGACACAATCGCATTAAAGAATTTGTGAAATTAAATTTTATTCAATGTTATCGGAGGAGATGGGCATGGGTACCCTTCAATATTATAGAATAAATAAAAGTTTCGTTATTTTGCATTGGAAAACCCAAAATATGTTTTCTATCAAAAAGCAAAAAAGGAGGTGCACAATGGCACTTTATAACAAAGAATCTGAAATCTCATTTTTATTTCATTCAGTAGTATAAGAGGACTTGCGAATAAGAGATTGGTATCCTAAACATAACAGACAAATGCCCTGACAGACGCAATTCACGCAAGGAATATAAATATGTGAAGACAGTGTGAAATGTTTTATCTTTCAGGGCTTAAAACAGAAACTGAATGTATACGATGCAGTATAAATATAAAGGGGATTATTTGGAAAAATGAAAATAATCAAGCATTCTGTACTATGTGCTATATGAGGTTTGCAGATGAATTTATTGGCAAGTTTACCTGGGAATGTGGTAAAACGTTCTGGTAATTTTTGTTTACATTCTTCTCTATTTAAACTGTAATGTATAATGATTTCTACATAATAACCATTATCTCTATACACATGTAATGCAGTAAATGCATATAAAAAATTATAACATTTTCAATTCATAGTTAGAAGGATAATAAATACTGTATAATTTCATAAAGGCAATTTTCATATTATTATTTCTTTTCTTGATATTAGCTGTGTATTACTTTAGATGGAATGGGAAACAATTGAATTTACTGATTTTTTTTATGAAAGAAGTTAACATATACAATTATTTCAGTAAAGAATTATCCAGAAAAGAGGCACCTAACAAATGGACAGACGTACTGTTGTTTGTAAGAACGAAAGTGTAAAGTACCAGACAATAGAAACGAAGAAGACATGCTTGTCTGTCTGTGGTTTTGAAAAGGTTTCATCTTTAAATATATAAATATCAGTCGATAAAATCAAACCAGAACTGGGAGAACTATCGACAACAAAGAAATCTTGTAACCAAATTAAAGAACAAATCTATAAATCAATATTTTATTGAAAGGTGTCCTGGGGGACCAAAATCAAAAGATTTTTGGCCAACTGTGAAGCCTTTTTTAACAAATAAAGGGTCCCTCACACAAAATGATGTAACTCTGTCAGAAAATTCAAAACTTGTAAATAATCAAAATGAAATAAGTGAGATTTTTAATGATTTTTTTATAAATGTAGCCAAAGACATTGGAAATGCAGATGAAAAGGTTGATGAGGACCACCCAAGTATCAAGGCAATCAGAGAAAATACTCAAGGTACAACACAACCAAGTACATTTTCTTTCTCGCCCATTAAGGAAGATTTTGTCTATAAAAATATTAAAAAAATCAATGTAAAAAAGGCCACAGGTATTGACGGAATTTCTCCAAAACTTTTGCATATTGCTAATCCAGTTATCAGTAAACCTTTGACCAAAATAATTAATCTATCCCTGGTAACATCAACTTTTCCTGATCAGCTGAAAATTGCTCAGGTTACTCCAATACACAAGAAAAATAGTACCTTAGAGAAGGGTAACTATAGACCAGTGAGTGTCCTCCCAACAATATCAAAACTTTTCGAAAGAGCAATAGAAACACAGTTAACAAACTTTTTAATGACATTTTTAATCCTTTTTTATCAGCTTTTCGGTCAGGTTTCGGATGTCAGTCTACTCTGTTGAGAGTTATTGAAGACTGGAAATATGCCCTGGATAAAAATGAATACACTGCAGCTATTTTAATGGACTTTCCAAGGCCTTTGATTGCCTTCCCCATGAACTACTTCTTTTGAAGCTAAAAGCCTATGGACTATCTGAATCAGCACAAGAAATGCTTTATAGCTACCTCTCACATAGAAAACAATGTGTTAAATTAGGGCATCATGTTAGTGACATGTTAAACATCATTAAAGGTGTCCCACAAGGATCTATTCTTGGTCCCCTGTTATTTAACATATTTATAAATGACCTGTTTTTCTTTGTAGATAAATGTAACCTCTACAATTATGCAGATGATAACACCCTATCAAAGTCTGATAAATCTCTAGAACAGGTGGTAGCAGCTTTAAACATGATAGTAGATCTCTCATTGAATGGTTCTCTTCAAATATAATGCAGGCCAACCCTGAAAAATTTCAGGCAATTTCTATTGGAAATAAAACACAAAGTAAAAACATTGTATTTGATTTAGATGGAATCAAAATTTCTTGTGAGGATGAAGTTAAGTTGCTAGGTATAACCATAGACTTTAAGTTGTCTTTTGATACACATATTACAAATATGTGCAAAAAGGCTGCAAGGCAATTAAATGTTCTTAAACGGTTAGGAAAGCACTTAACAAAGTTAGGAAAACTTACAATATATCACTCTTTTATCATGTCAAATTTTAGTTATTGCCCCTTAACATGGCATTATTGTACTGAGCAAAATACTCGCAAAATAGAGAAAATTCAGGAAAGAGCATTAAGATTTATTTACAAAGATTATAAAAGTTCTTATGAGAGTCTTTTACATAAATCTAAACTACCATCTTTGAAAACCAGAAGAATGCGTGCCATTGCTATAGAAACCTTTAAAATTTTACAAGGTTTAAGTCCTGTCTTTTTGCAAGATCTGGTTGTTTTTAAAAATAATTCATACAATTTTAGATATACAAATACTGCAGAGGTCCCAAGACCAAGAACAACAAGGTATGGGATCATTTAGGTATGAGGCAGCAAAGCTCTGGAACTCTCTACCCAATGAAGCCAGGCAATTCTCCTCATATAATCAATTTTCAAATTACATTTCAACTTGGTGCGGAGAACTAAATTGTAAATGCAGCTCTTGCAGACTTCAGACTTCTATGCCTCATACCTAATTTTCAGTTTTATAGATGATCGTCTTAAGTTATTATTTATTTATTTTTTTTTTTTACAGTATTGTGCTTTCTTAACCTTTCCTCCTTGTTTGTGTGCATGACTTTTGTTTTAAGTACTTGTTGTTCTCTTATGTTGACTCTTTTATTTTCTTTGTGTGTTGCTCAAATGTTTTGTCTTTTATTTCTTTCTTTTCTTTTTTATGTCAGTTTATCAATGTCTTTGGTTACACTTGTGTGTTTAAATGAACTTCTGTCTTTGTGAACTTTAATGTGATATTTGTGCTCTTATGTGTAAATATGTACATTTTATTATAAATATGTTTTTTATGTTTCTAGTGGTAAAAGAGCTTTTTAGCTCATGTTCTCTGTTATGTGTATGTAGTCCGACTATAAATAAAATTTACTTACTTTACTTACTATCTTTTTGTATACTGAAAAGATATATTGCTTATAAGAAATTAAAGAGAGATAACATGAGAATATTGCAGCATAATTTACTTCTAATCAGCGAGTTGTATTTCATGTTTCAGCTTCCGGAATAGTTAAAAATGATAAGCTCATGGGCAAACTGACCCGGGATTCAATTCTACACCCAATGACTGTACAAAGTATCAATGGATCCATCTTTATGAGGGACATATGTGATTTGAAAATTCAGATCGGGGTTTAAAAAAATAAAGATTGTCATTTTTACTATCAAGATCATTTACAACTTCTAGGGGAAGGTAACATGCTATTTAAAGGAAATTTTCTTTATAATACAAAATTTAAAAATGCATGAAATTGGAATTTTTTAGATTAGTTTTGTAACAAACTGAAAAGACACGTATTTTCTTTTCAGATGAAACAGAATTTTATGATGCACAAGTAAAGCACTTCGACAAGAATCAGGTCATATTTTTCTCAGGTTTTTTTTATATAAGATACAATGCGAAATTTTTCTTTATTATTACATTTTTTCACTTGAACATCTATACTATCAAGAGTAAACATATCAATGGCGGAAAAGTTAAATCTAACTTTGTTGTTGATGTGTTGTTTTACGTTTGGATGTTACGCCCACCTCTTGAAATCAAGCCATACCGTTACAAGACCTTGACTGATATAGAAATTTCTTAATATATAATAGTAGCGCTCGCTCCATGATCGGGAGGTCGTGAGTTCGTATCTCGCCGCGACTAACCTAGTCATTAAAATGGGTAGCAACTGTTCCTTCGCCATGCGCTCGGCACTTTGAAGTGAAAGTTGCGGGTCCTTGGGATGAGACCTTAAAAAACCCAGGCCCCGTGTCAGCGGCAGGCGTTGGCACGATAAAGATCCCTCACGCTCAATGGCCCTGAAAGCCGAGTAAAAGTCAAAATTTGAAGCCCTTCACCGGCATACGGTGACGTCTCGATATGAGTGAAAAATTCTCGAGAGGGACGTTAAACAATATACAATCAATCAATAATATATATTAGTAAACAAATATTATCCAGAAAAAACCTTAGAAACTCGTATACTTCTAAACACACAAAAAATTACCGCACATAAAATTGTAATCTAAGTATAATTTTTGATATTGATAGGAACAAATTCTAAAATTCAAGTTCAAGTGTAAAAAAAACCTCTTTAGCTGGGAAAACTCTTATAGACCAGTTCTTCATTTCATCTTCGTAGACCAAAAGGATATATTTTTAGGACGTTTTGAATCTTCTAAGTATTCTATTTTATTAATTCACCTCTGGTCCAATCAAAAACTAAAATCAGTAAATACAACTTTTTAAAATTCAACAGTAAGCTGAGTGGAGCCTATCAGATATAGTTATAGCTAGCCTATGACCTAATTTTGATTTACAAAATTAATCACAACATGTATTACCTTATATAAAAAAATATTTAAGTTTGAATCAATACAGTTATTTGTAGCAAACAAAATTAACATTAACTAATTAACTATGGTATTGTTGTTTGGCTTCGTTTATTGTTTGATGAATTCGTGCATCACAATTGTTTACTGCCAGTGGTAGTTGTTTATCCATATCAGCATACATTTGAACAGTAAATAAATTTACAGGATATTCAATTTACCTGCTTTGATCTGAGTCCTGAGATATTTTTCTGGTAACCATAGGTCATTCAAGAATATCCTGTCACTTGGTTTATGACCAAGTTGTA